TTAACGCGCTGCTTTTAATTCAGAAGTTGAAATCTTTGCCTCGTGTTCGGAAACCCAAATAATAACTCTAGATACGAGAGAGGAAATGAGGGCAACTTGATAATACCAGATATTTTTTTTATTAATTATTTCAATCGAGTTAAAATAGTTTTCATCGTGATAAAAATTGAAATTATGATGAAGATTTAAATCATAATGAAAGAAATTGTGCATCATTGTGAACATCTAAATTATGATAAAAACAGAATTTATTATGAGAGTTTAAATCTGGAGGAAGATATGAATCGGGAAGTTGATTTAAATTGTGATGAAGATTTGATTTAAGATGTAAGCTTGTGAGAAAAAATTTAAATCATAAACATCTCAAAACGAATGTTTTAGTTATGAAGACCATTATAATTGAATTTAAATCAAGACATATTCTTTAAAAGCAATAGATTTAATGTGGTTTGGAAAAATAATATAAAAAGTTAATTAATTTAAATGTTTTTTATTCTAAAGTACGTAGAAAAATCTTCTAATAAAATGACCGTACTGTATGATAATGACTAAGGCCCGGATTTTGATGACATTTGCATTTTTTTGCATTTTTTGTCTTTTGGAGCATTTTTTAAAATTTATAGGGCATCTTTCTTTAAATTTTGGGGCATATTTTGCATTTTAATGCATTTTTTAAAGTTTTTTGTTAATTTTTTCCAGTTTTTATTATTTTTTTATCAATTTTCATTATTACACTGGCTTCCAAACAATGAAGAAAATCTATAGAATATTAACAGGTGAAGCAAAATCTTTTCAAATTGAAGAAGAATTGTCAGTAAGTGAGACCGTCCTTTTTAAGTACGCACCTATAACATCAGTAGACTTTGAAAGAAGCTTNTGATTCTAAATCTTTGTTTAAAAAAAATTAAATATTTCATTTGGATAAGCATGATAGCGCGATGTGACCATGCAAATAAAGGTAACATAGCACAATTCATTAAATTAGCAGTTTTGACAAAAATAAATGGAAAAAAGAAATTTAACGGACTTCAGATTTTTGATTTCAGAACTCGAAATAGAATTTCGAACAAATTTTTTCATTTACGGTTTTTTAATGTTTTTATAAATGAATGCAAGTTTCTTTATTAAGTTTTAACTAATAGAATATGGCTGCTGTCACCTTATGTAGAAGAATTAGGTTTCTCTAATTTCTGTAAGAAATAAGTTAAGCCTTTTAATTTTAAACCATTTACAAATTATGCATGCAGAATTGTTTGTTACAAAAACGTGACTTGATCGATCGTTGTTAAAAGAGAAAAGTTTAATTGCATAAAACGATACCAAAAAAAAAAAAAGTCCTTCATTGAATCGTTTGATAAAATTTTTGAAACTTAGGGTAAATTACTGATAAATATCACACATAAACTCTTTCGGTCAAAGTAATGTCATCTTTTCCCGTTTCTAAGTAGGCATGTCAAACTCTTACAAGGAAAAAATATTCACTACTGCTTAACTTACCGCAAGTCAAAATATAAAAAATACAGCCAAAAAATTTATTAAGTTTAATAAATAACATTTTATCGCATAATAGTCCAATTCTACAATCATACAGAAATCACATCCTGCATGCCTACACAGAAAAAAAAAAAATAGGCAAAAACTACCAGAATATGGTAAAATTTACCGTATTTCTATGTCGCCAAATAGGAACACCAAAAAGTACGGTAATTTCTTCCGAAAAGCTTTGGTAATGATTTTGGTAAAATAATCAATATAATATGGTTTCAAAATAAGTGATAAAATTTAGTAATTTTATCATGATACCTTAGAGCATGGTTTAAAAATCATTTAATCTTTTATTATTAATTATTATTTGGTTTTCATTTTGGTATTCTTTAATAAATGTGTGTTTATAAGAACCATTATTATTTTGGAAGTCAAAAATAGAAAGCAAATTTCACCGAATAAACAGTTTTAACGCCATGTTCTCAGGTACCATGTTAAAATTACTAAATTTTATCACATTTATCAAATTTTATCAAACATTATAAACCATATTTAATTATTAGTTTTCCCAAAATCATCACCAAAACACTTCCGTAAAAATTACCGAGATTTTTTATGCTCCCATAGAACTAAAAACACAGTGAATTTTATCATAGCTTCACCATATTTTTTTTCTCAGCGCGTATATAGTATATAAGGGCTTGAAAAATCAATGTATTTTGGAGAATACCTGATAAAAGTGTTTTTAAAAAAGATCTTCTGTCTTTGATCTATTTTAATATTCCAATGAAATTTCCAGTATTTTTTATTAAGAAAATGAAGTGTTCACAAAAATATTTTTATGAATAACGGAATCAATGACGTCCTTAACTCATAATTTTTAAACCAAAACTTCTCGATAAACATGTTTTCTGCGTTTTTTTTTCTTCATAAAATAAAGATATTATTTTCACAAATTCACTAAAACATGATTTTTTACAAAATGTTTGGACAGACTACTTTTCTTTCTTGCTCTCTCTCTTTTTTTAAAATTTTTTTTTATTACAAAATTGCAAAAACGGGTCGCTATTTTTCCAAATTCATTAAATAATAAGAAGATTTTTCGTAATTTAATGAAAATACTTTTTATTAAAAATCTGAATTTTTTAATTACTATTTATTTTATTCATCAAAGATCAAAATGACAATAGCTAATTTTATCTTTTGCCTGAATTCTAGGTATATATACATAGTAAATAGTCATCAAGTATACGTCTAGCGAATAAGAGCAAAACCTGCGAGTATTACGCTTGGATTAAAAGTAAATTAAATAGTAACAGGCAATTAATTAAATAGTTTTCAGCGGCGTGTAATGGCCAAATAAATATTGCAAGTCAATTATGGGATTTTTTAAAAATTATTTTCCTGTTATGATTTAATTCTGTGCTTTTTTAGAAAAATCATTATATTGATTTTTAATCAAAACCTTACAATTTACAATGTCTATAAATTAGCCGATATAATGATAAAAAATGCCTAAGTGGTCTTATGAGATTGTTCAACAGTAATTTTAGTAAAACTTCATTATTTTTCATTATTATTTAACAATAGTTGAATTGTAAGGTATACAATTTTTTGCATCATTTTAAAGTATCCGATTTCACAAAGCAAAAAAAAAATTTAAGATAAATTGTTTGAATAGTTCCTGAGAAATCAAATATTAAAAAAGTCGCATATTTAAAACTCAATTTCTTAGGAACTTTCAACCGATTTCACTAAATATTGTATTTTGCCACGTAAAATTAGATCTTCGTAAAATTTTTAGATCCTTTACAAGGATGTAAAAATTTGTATACCGTTCAATTCAAAAATTTTTCGACTATCATTAAATAAAATAAAAAATAATAAATATTTACTAAAATTTAATTTTTGCATGGAATTATCATTGGATAAACGAATTTTGTAATTGTGTACAAAATTTTTTCAATTCGTTTAAAAAATTCTCGAGATAGAAAGGTGAAATACGCAAAAAGGTAAAATTAACATTAAGGGGTCAAAACTTGTGACCACTTCCCTAACTAAAATATTAAGACCATATTTCACAGATTCCGGCTACCCCTATATTTTGGGTGTCAGAAATAAGAACCCATCGATAAAAAGGTATGTTTATTCAGAGAAAGTGCGTTTTTGTGTCTGATTTCGTAACTTAAAATATCGTCCGCACCAAAAAATTAGCATATTTGAAGTCACCCTCCCGAACCATAAGTCCTAGAAAAACGTCATCTGAGGAAAACATGTTGCTTATTACTACTGTCTTGTTCATATGATAAAATATCTCATTTTAACTACATTTATTAATAAGTGAATAATTTAAAAAATCAATATCAATTACCGTTGTATCGAATTTAAGCTTATATTTTAAGATATCTCCAAAAATTCAGCAAATTAAAAGCTTAAAAATGTATACGTTAAGCGATAAATATTTTTTTAATTGAATGAAAACAAAGATGAAATAAATTGAACGATCAAGTAAATAACGCTTAATAAGTACTTATAAATTGTTTGGTGAACGGGTTAATAAGGATTTAAATACAGTTCATTGAAATGATGTAAAAAGTACCTCTTATAAAAAAAAATTTTTGAGTTTTATCTTTTAGTTTTTTCTGTTGCCTGCCACTTAAGTTTAAAATCTCCCAACATGATTTCGTATTCAAACAGAGAATGTTTCATTATCTCTATATTTTGATTGACATAGGTGTCTTGGTTCTTAAATATAAATATAATAATATCTTTTAAAAAATGGATTTGTTCTTAAACGATAAGAATATATAATTACTAAATAGAGATCAATAATGAGGACAATATTACTCATTTATTGATTTCCTATGTGTTTTACGTTTCTTTAAAATGAAGACTTCTGCAAATATTTCCCCTATTTGAAAAATAAACAAATTTAAAAAGATAGTTTATCTCCATTCTCTATATAGCGCAATAAGTAACGAAATTATGTGCGAATTTCATGGTATTAGACTATTTTAATTGAAAATTCTGACAAGAATTAGTTATAAAGATTTTAAATATACAAGATATTTTATACATAAATGTGATCGATGATTTCTTGAAACTTTTGGACCTTGGATTTCCAGAAATTTCCGGATTACGGTTAGTGAAAAATCCGGAAATCCGGATTTTTTCCGGAGCACAATCATCTACGGCAATTGAAATTATTTCATTCATCGTATTATAGAATACGTAATGCAATTTTAAAGAAAATATCTTTAATTATCGTCGTATAAATATAATTTAAAAAAAACAGAAATGAGCAGTTTTAAATCAACATTTACAAAGTAATGACATAAATACTTCCCTAAAAATCGGTGAAAATTTTAAGAATAGTCTGATTTCAACTACCGAATTCACAGATCTTGTTTTAAACATAGAATCATCCGTATCATAACGCCACTAGTTAAAACAATTTTAAAAAAAGAAAAATAATAAACATTTAAATGCTATTTTATAAGAAATTAAATACTTACCAAGAAGTTTACTGAGATCAGCGTTGTGCATATCGGGGTTTTCATCAGCGAGTCGTTTTCGTTCGCTCTTCGCCCATACCATAAAGGCATTCATGGGCCGACGAATCCTCTGTTCCAACGCTGCATTCGTAGCCGCCTTCCCACCGCCCGATGCCCGACCGCCACTTTTCGAGGCCTGGACCGGCATGGGTGATTCTGGATCTTCGTCAGCATCCATAGCCGGCGGTAGACTATCATCACTAGTTCCTCCGCCTCCTCCACCACCCTCAGATGGAGCCCATGCAGATTTCATGGGATTTTCATCCGTATACGAATCATACTTATAATAATGGGGATACACCATACCCCAGCCTTCGTCGTTGTTATGGTAACTCACGCCGTTGTACATTACTAAAGTTTCCTTCACAAACCGATTGAAAGAGCCATGGTTTGGTAATAATCACAGAAATAGGTTCCTTTTCTATAAATATATATATTTAATAATTCGTAACAGTTAATTCCTAACGTTTCCAAAAGTGAAAATTTTTGTATATTAATACTGTACAATAAATATATATTATTTCGTAAAACTTTATAATAAAATATGCATTCAACTCTCTTCTTTCACTTATCACAAAATATCCATTTGATTGTAAGAAAAAATCACAATGTTGATTTGATTATCCATTAAAAAAAATCCACAATGTTTTAGATTCGGATAAAAAAGTTGATATTTGTTGAACAAAAAAAAGCACCAAATAACTTTCGATTCCTATTTTAAATTCAAAATCAAAGAATCACATGTGAAGAAGAGGTGATAAGGTGTTTATTTTCCCATGAATACACCTGTGGTCGCGCACCATCACAGATTGAATGATGGATAGAGAACTTTTCGTGCTTGAATGAGTGCGCGGAAAGGGTTGCTTTTCCTTATCGTGCCAACATCAAGGCCAAGAGCGATAAAACTGCCAACCAAGCATGTGAAACTGCGCCAAATAAAGCAACTGAATTTATAAACGAGTTTATTATTCTTTATTTAATGTTCATGATTTTTTTTAAAAGGATTTGTTTTTGTTATTTGGCTCAATAATTATTTTTATTAAAAATATATTTACTGTTAACCAAGTTTGTATATTACAGTTAGTTTTCGATTTTTTTTTAATAATATAAATAAATTTTAATGTAAAATAATGAATTCTGATTGATACTTATATGTTGATTTACTGCCTACTAAGTTTTTTTATTACTAACTTAGTGGTGACTTTAATATTTACAGCCAACCAAGTTTGTAGATAGTTTTCCACAGATAGTTTTCGTTTTATTTAATAAAAGAAAATTTTAATGTAAAATAATGAATTTTTATCAATGATTGATACTTTTATATTTAGTTATTTAAAACTACATACAATTCAATTTGCAAAAAGTAAATTTAAGACTAGTCATGTGATTTAAGTAAAAAAAAAATCAAAAATTAAGAACACTAATACTAAATTTTGAGGCTTATTTGATTTAATTTAATTTAATTATTCCAAAAAAATTAATTATTCCTAATGTAATAATTAAAAAAGAATTTTTATTACCGATCTAGTTTTTATAAATCTAATTCAACTAATTCCCACAAATGAAATAAAAGTTTCCAAGTTTATTTATATTTTGTTTATTATTATTTGATATATTTATATATCTCATTTTGTATTTGTTTTTTTTTTTTCCTTCCTTTTTCATTGTTGAAAATTTAGTTAAGATTAAGAAGTGGTCTTTCCAATTGTATTACAGCATTTTAAAAACAAAGAGCTAAAAAAAGAAAGAAAAAAAAACAAAGATGAAATAAAATGGCATTGTATTATTTTATTTCTTTTCAATAAAAGAAAATTATGTTTGCAATTTAAATTAAAATGACATTGTGGTGCTTTACTAATTTAAATAAAATTAAAAAAGAATTTGAGAAAATAATTAAATTTAACAATTCTAATAATTAAATATAAATTCTTAATACTCAATCTAATTAATTCGTACTAACATAGACAAATTTCAATTTTGATAATTATTAGGTCTTTCAACATCTATTGTTGTTTTTAGCAAGCGTATACAAACTATGTAAATTTCAGATTATAAAAGAACGATATTCATACGATTTTATTACTTCATATTTTTACTACTCGAAGCCCTTTAATGTAAATAAGTCAGCATGATATTATTTTTAAAGCCAATTTGTTTCAAAAGAAACAAAATCAAATCTTCTTTCAAGACAATAAGTACTATTTTTTCATAACTTAATGTTTTCATAACATGTTTTATTGTTGAAATAAAACTTTTAATCTGAGTAGAAAAATTGTACACGGAGAAAAGAGTGTTTAATTAAGCTCTTTCAGTAAAATATTCAAGTTAAAAAATATAAATCTAATTTAAATGGAAAATATGTAGAATTATATTTGTATAGCTTGACGTGGAGTGAAGCTATGCTTAATAAAGAGAAAATTTCACACTTATCGACTGCCAAACTAATAAGCAGACTTAAAATTAATTATAACAATTTTGAAACGATTATTAACAGCCGAGATGAAGTTTTAAAATACAAATATTACTTTAAAAAAAAAGCAGAATAATACACTCAAATTTTTATTTTAAAACACTAATATTTTCATTTTAAAGCGAATTTTATAAATATTTTACTAGAGGATATTCCTCGGGGAAATTTACTTGAAAATAACAACTAACTTGAAAAATGTCATATAGTCAAAAATGTCACTGTAAAAAATTCCGATAAAAAAGTACCAGCTCTCAGGGTGTCGGTATTTTTTACCATAAAATCCATTTTTGTCAAAACCTGTTACAGAACAATAAATCTTATATAAATACTATATTCTGTAAATACTATACACTTTATCTATGTTAATGTAATATTACTGTAATTATTCTCGTATTTTTTACAATAATAATTACAGTAATATAGATAAATTTTTAATCATGTTAATTCAAAAACTGAAGTTTTTAAAGCAAAGTAACTTTCTTATGGCAGATTTTATATATCTCGATAAAAGTTTTTCTGCAGTTCCTTACAATTTCCTTTGCTTAAAAATTATAAATGCTTAAAAAAGTGCGTAAAAGAGTAGAAAATTCTCAGAAGAGGTACAAGTAATAACATAACTACTTTNGCAAGCGTATACAAACTATGTAAATTTCAGATTATAAAAGAACGATATTCATACGATTTTATTACTTCATATTTTTACTACTCGAAGCCCTTTAATGTAAATAAGTCAGCATGATATTATTTTTAAAGCCAATTTGTTTCAAAAGAAACAAAATCAAATCTTCTTTCAAGACAATAAGTACTATTTTTTCATAACTTAATGTTTTCATAACATGTTTTATTGTTGAAATAAAACTCTTAATCTGAGTAGAAAAATTGTACACGGAGAAAATAATGTTTAATTAAACTTTTTCGGTAAAATATATATATAATTTAAACGGAAAATATGTAGAAATATATTTGTATAGCTTGACGTGGAGTGGAGCTATGTTTAATAAAGCGAAAATTTCACACATATTCGACTGCCACAAACTAATAAGCAGACTTAAAATTAATTAATTATAAAAAATTACGGTAAAAAGTACCGGATCTCATGGTGCCCTTACATTTTACCGTTAAATCCATTTTTACCGAAACATGTTACGAAACAAAAAATCTCCCATACAGTAATTTTTACAGTAATAATAAACGTAAAATCATTGAATTACTCTAATTAAATAAATATTACTGTGAAAACTACGGTATAATATTTTATGGTAAAAGTGAATTTTACGATAAAATGGATTTTACGGATGATGTACCCAAAAGTGGCGGTACTTTATATCGTAATTTAATCCGGAATTTCTTACAGTGCATAAATAATGAGTTAAATTTATAGATATTGATTAAAAAAACAAGTATTATGAAGAATAAAAATCAAACAAAGTTGTTTGTTAACATAATAAGCTACGTCATATAATAGTATAAATATTTTTCCTAATTATTCGTATGTGTTTCATTTAATTATTATTATATGATATGCTTGCCTAATATGGGTGTCTAGTTCTGTTCTTACACTCATTTGTTCTTATGATCATCATTTCCGTTGCACTACACTCTAAAAAATTTAATTACTGTATGAAGTACCGACACTTTGGGTGCATCATCCGTAAAATCTATTTTCATCGTATAATATTATACCGTAATTTTTTCAGTAATATTTATTTAATTCGAGTGATTCAGTGATTTTACGATAAATATTAATGTATAAATCAAGCAGATTTTTTTGCTCCATTACATGTTATGGAAAAAAGGATTTTACAGTAAAAAGGCATCTTGAGTTATTTAAGTAATTTGATTGTTAACCGTGTATTCTGGTGTATTGTAGATCTCTGCCGCCGTCCATCTGGTCTACTATTGATCGGAAAAATGTTCAATGAGTTCAATTTTTTTAAATATTAGCTTTCACTTTAGAATTTAAAACATGATAAAAGTTAGTCTAGAGCCGCCGATTTGAATTTAGATATTAAAATAAAATGATGATAAACCTAATATACATACTAGCTATTTTTATAAGCACAAACTATTTAAGCGAAAGAAATAACTGCTTGATTATTTTTTTATAAAAAAGTGTCGCACAAAGAACCAGTGAATCACTTTTTTTTAAAAGATACCTACATTGTTTTTCTTTTCCTAATTCTTAGCGCGCTTTTTGAAAAGTGTTATCATTGGCGAAATGCAGGTCACTTTCAACTTCATTTTTTACTTCTTTGAGTTCTTTTCATATGTACCTGATTGAGAAGTCAAAAAAAGTCGAAACAAATGGAAAGAATAGCCGAAAGTGCTTTCTTTTTTTTACGAAGCATCTTTCTGCCGCTAATGCACATTTAAGACCAAAGTTCTGTGAATGATGTTTCTGCGCTTCTTCTAACATCTTTATTGGACTTCAAACATCTTTATTGGAATCATTTTTAGTGTAAGTTTAATTTCTAAATTTTTTAGTCAAAGCGTCAATTTTTCAACGAACTAAATTTAACTTCTCAAAAAGTTCGAGAAAGCCTACCCTAAGTTCATTTTCTGAAGGGTCAAAGGGATCTCTAGTAAAAATCAAGAACGAGCAGACACTACCTCCTTAAATCAATGAAATTTCATCCCATGAAGGATACTACTGTATTAATTGAAATGACCCCTATTTTCTTTGATGCATTAAAAAAAAATTTTTTTTTTTGGTATATTGACCATCCGACTTACTGTTTTTATTTTATTTTATAACCGTTGTTGAACAGCTGACCCAATTTACGAGTTTAGGATTACCTATGCTCAACTCCGTTAGCCTTGTATTTTGTTCCAAATTCAGAAGACAAGGTTTTATCTGGATGAAATATCTGGAGAAATTCACCTTCGCGGAGAATTTTTTGATGGAACTAACCCTTATTTGCCCTACATGGAGAGGAAAATCACAAAAACCTCTCACGGTTAGCCTGACGGCAAGCACACTCTAACCCATGATCCGTTTACCCCTGAGGATACTTTAAGTTAGCACTGTGGTCGGTGCGAGCCTAGAGATAGCCGAGAGAAAAAAATTNGAAAAATTATATAGGGGTCGATGATCAAAAAAGTTTGGCGACCCCTGCTCTAACCCATGATCCGTTTACCCCTGAGGATACTTTAAGTCAGCACTGTGGTCGGTGCGAGCCTAGAGATAGTCGAGAGAAAAAAATTTGCGTTTTTTAAAACTGAATGTTTCATTCCATTAGCAACCCTTTTGTTTTTTAAAAGAGGTCAAAGGAATTTGGGCCCAAATAATTATTTTTCTACTTTATTATGTTTTGGTCGTTGCAGATATATTATTTCGTCAACAAAAATGATTAAA